ATATTCATATTTATATTTGTATTTTTATTTGTATATATATTTATAAGACGTACTAAAATGGTAGACGGGTCCTGATACCTCAACAGATTGGGGCATCTGCTTTCGTTTATTGATTTTCTGCCACAGTTGAATGTTTCCGGTAGATCTGAATGCCTTACGTGCCTTTTTTTGAGATTAGACATTTCGGCGAAAGCTCATACATATATTGATGGGGTTTGACATGACTGCTATTACGTCAAAAGTCTGTCGTGCCGTCTTTATTATATAGTAAACCCGTTCGGGTTTTCGTGAGAGCGGTCCGAGTGGTCAACACAAACAATGAAGATTCTCAGTTGTATAATCTTTCTGCATTAGAAAAACCCGTTGGCCTTGCCCACAAAGATTCTCGGAGACTCTATTGCGGCGGAATGGAATAGTCAAGACGGTATCATCCGTCCCCACGCGATGCATCTTACTGGCATGGCCAACTCGGCATTAGATAAAGGTGAGATATCATATCATAAGCGTAGACGCACGCTCGTAGTTTCGATGGTATTTTCTGGTGTGCGCGATATTGGATACAGAATACTACTCGTTCAGTTTTTGGCATCAAGTCTCACTGGATCGTGTCTGTTTGCCAGTTACTAGGAATTGGCTGGTATTGGCGAATATATTGCGAGAATTCACCACGACTATTGTGTCATAGAATGTCGTTTCGTTTCATCACCTTGAGCCTTGCCTCTCGTCTAAATGTTAGACTCCAGTATTGATTTGAGTATACTTCAATGTAGCAGATACTAAATTGATTTCAATGCTGGTTGTGCTCTGTATAGAATACTTGAAGGAACGCGAGGTAAAACTGGATCTGCTCGTCGAATATCTACACACTGATACCGTTTGGTAAGGCATGATGCATCCAGCTGTTAAGGCCAGCTATCCACGCGTGTTCACATCGTGATAGTGTATTGATTCATTAATCCGTCAGGATAATACTGTCGCTATGTTTGTTTGCCTGTAAATTGGAATGTTCTAAAGCTGCGTCTTTTCGTTTAAAATCTTTGCCTTGAATCTGATTTCCGTCATAATCACTGGACCATAGCTTCCGAAGCAGCTTCCCCAGCGACCTTACTGCCCTGCAAATAGTAACCTGGGACCCTTATATCAGTAAGTGTCTGCAGTATTCTCTCTGAATGTGACTGTGTGTGTTCTGTAGTTAGCGCCATGGAGTGCAGCGTTTTAGTCAATCAATCTTTGTTGATTAATGCTCTGTCCTACTTCTTTAGACCAAGCTTGTTCTGCTACTGTAAAGCGTGTTATTATTACTATATGTGGAGGGCGGTGCCTCTCTTTATTGAATTGTCTATTTTCTGCTGATATATTCGCACTGAGTTGTTTTGTGACCAACTTCTGCTTTTATGCGTCTGTTCGGAGCAGATCCTTCTCGCATACATATCTTGAATTCATCCGTGTTTCCGGTACACCGTATTCGTCCACGCTCACACGCATCTGACCCAACCACTTTGCAGCATACTTCAATCAACGATTTGGTACCAATATGGTATCCACCCTGGGACTTGAGCCACCTGCTCAGAATGCGGGCGAAAATCTAGTCAAGTTCAGATCGTATCTAGAGTCGCTGAATCCTTTCGAAATCACGGGTATGCTTGTGCTCGTCTTCAACCTCCATTACTATAAGCCCCAAAACCCGATCCAGCAATCCTTATGCGTGTTGCGTACATTAAGTCCGCCGCTGTTTTCTGGGGTCATTCATTTTTAGGAATTAACTTGTTCTGACGCGACTGCAATGATAGCTCGATTATGGTATATATTCAGCTTTATTGGTTTCTCTTAACATCACTCTAGTAGATACTTTTTTTTTTTTGCCTTTCTGTCGCGATTTTCTCATATTTGCTAGCGTATGTTTCTTCAATCCTGTCGAAACTACGACCTCGCACTATTAGTTTTGATTTCTGTACTAATACGATCCGAATTCTCACTATGCTAGAAATCAATATTTGATTTGTATTCTTAGTATGTACTACATGCAACCCTTGTAGTTCTCGTTGCGTTCAAATTCTGTACCAAAACGATGGTATCTAGCAAATCCGATCGCACGACACCCTTAATCCAGCCTCCGGGCTGGAAGTTTGTTGCACTCAATCAACTCAGATCTTGATTCTAAACACTCCGTGATTTTCTCGTCAGCAATGGAGAATGCGATCGCGATGTGTCACTCCGCAATCGTAGCCGTTGCAGTGATGGATAGACACGTCAGCGTGGAAAAGGTACAGACATCCTCATTGCAGCATAGAGGATAATGCGCGAGACCCTCGCCTACTCTTTTGTTTGAATTAGCACGTATCTAATGAGCAAAAGATACATCATTGTTATAGTTACACACACGTATGACAAGGATTGGCACGAATGATTTATTTTCACTGATTCAGCATGGTAGCTTTATATATTGCTGGTGTTGGGTATGCGAACTCGCGTGTATTTCTCGAGCATTTGCTATGTGACTATTAGACACTGTTCGTTACCGCTTCATTCTACATATCTGTCAAACCCCGCCGTTAAATCTCACGTCAATTCATTGTGGGTTATTATTTTTGCAGGGTATCAAGGATGCCTATCTTGAGGCGGAATACCAGCGCGACGTGTATGGACGGTATGTTATACAGACCTTCTGTATGGGACATATGATTCAAGGGACCTACCATATATATATATATATATATATATATATATGTCGTGTCTATGTGTGTGTGTGTGTG